GCCCGAAGATCCTCGCGGCGATCATCGTGAAGCCCGGACGGGCTTCGAGTCCGCGACGCCTTGTCGCACCCAGGCGTGTGTGGAGGCGCAGAGGCCCACGTCAATAGAAGAAGGAAAGTGGCCATGAACATAACCTGTGGCGCTCCGCGCGGACTTCTTGGATCCGCGCTGGACCCCCCTCCCTGGCGCGCCCTCCAGCGCCGCCAGGGGGGGCCCAGGCGCGGATCCAAGACAACCGCGCGGAGCGCAACAAGCTCATGTTTATATTGGCGTTGTTTCGTCTTCGAGCCTCGTCTCCTGTCGCGGGCGCGCACACATGGATTAGCGACCCATGGATTTCGCGCGCGGTCGCCAAATCCATGGATCGGGGGAGGTGCCCTCCCCAAAATACCACACTAGTGCCGCCTCGTTCGTTGGCGGAAACCCGCGCTTCTTCCCATGGAAACGGGAGACCCGTCGCTAATCCACGCCTCCCTTGATCCATGCTTGCGATCGCCTGATACTGGCGTGCGTGGAGGCGCGGCCGCCCACACCGATCGCCTGATCCTGGCGTGCGTGGAGGCGCCGCACACCGATCGCCTGATACTGACTACCTACCAGACCACCCCAACCCGACCCAAAGACCCGAACTTGACCCGAATTTCGGCTTGGGGGGGGTGTACGGGTTCCACACGTTTTTTCAACGTTCCCCGACCCTCCCCACTGGAAAGCGAGGGTAAATTTGGGCCCTCGGGCTGGGTTGGTTGGGGGCCACATGCGAACCCTACCCCTACCCCCCCACGATTTCTGGGGGGGAGGGTGGGGTTCACTTCGCTCGGGAGCTCCCGAACGAAGTGAACCCCACCCTCCCCCTCAGAAATCGTGGGGGGTAGGGGTAGGGTTCGCATGTGCCCCCCTAGTTGGGGTGGCTTGGTGGGTGGTGAGATCCTGGCGTGCGTGGAGGCGCGGCGGCCCACACCGAGCCGCACGTGGGCCTCGGAGGCGGTGCCTCCGTGGGCCGGGCCGCTCGCGGGCCTCGCCGGCCCGTGCCGCGGACGGCGGCCGGCGGCCTCCCCGCCAGCTCTCTCTCTCTCTCTCTCTCGGCCTCGGGCAGCTCCCTCCGCTCTCGGCGGCAGCACTGTGGAGGCAGCGTGCGTGCTGGAGCGGCCCTCCTCCTTCTCCTCCTCCTCCTCCTCCGCCTCCTCCTCCTCCTCCTCCTCCTCCTCCTCCTCCCCCTCCCCTCCTCTCCCCCCCCCTCCCCTCTCCTCCCCCTCCTTTCCCTTCCCCTCCTCTCCGCCCCCTCCTCCTCCTCCTCCTCCTCCTCCTCCTCCTCCTCCTCCTCCTCCCTTCTCCTCCTCCTCCTGCTTGCTGGAGCGGCCTTCCCTGGCCCTGCTGGTTCGAGGCCTCCCAGATGGGGCCCGAGCAGACGGGGTCGGATGATCGCGCCGCATCGACGATGCATCCGGCGATGCATCCGGCGATGCATCCGGAGGAGGAGGAGGAGGAGGAGCAGGAGGAGGAGGAGGAGGAGGAGGATCCGTGGCGACGTCAACAATACACTGGTGACGCCAGCGCGGAGAAGATCGGGCTCCGCGACGAGCCGCATCGCCGATGCATCGGCGATGCCTCGGCGACGCGGCGCGATCCTCCGACCCCCTCCACTCCGACCCCCTCGGGGAGGCCTACACCCTGCGAAAATGCTTAGGAAAATCATGGGTCAAGAAATTCAGAGTCTCAGAATTTGAGTAATAGCCCAGAACTTCTATTAACATCTTAGGATTTACAGTGCAACGTTGAGAATGACCGAGACTCTGGCCGAAACCTCAAGTTTTCTTCAGCATCGCCTGGGGTGTAGGGGTGACGAGGCAGGTCGCGCTTTGGACCCCGACGGCGACGAGTCGGCCACCACCGTGTGCGGCCGCCCTCGGGCGCCGCCCCGCGGGCGTTTGATGGAGCTCGCCGACGACGGCACGGCGCCCTCTGACCTCGTCGGTCCTCGGGCGCGGGGTGGACAGGGCACCACCCTTCCAGGGGGCCACATGCCAACCCTACCCCTACCTCCCACGAGTTCTGCGGGGGAGGGTGGGGCTCGCTCCGCTCAGGAGCTCCCGAACGAAGCGAACCCAACCCTCCCTCTCAGAAATCGTGGGGGTAGGGGTAGGGTTCACGTGTGGCCCCCTCTACCTTCGGCACTCTCTCGGCGGCGAGCCCGGGGGGAAGCGAGACTCGCGGCGGGCCTTCTCGGAAGGCTCGGAAGTCCCCCGGCAGTCTGCGACGTCCTCCGGGGCTCCCCCCGAGGACACGAAAAAAAGCACGCTCCGACGGCCAGAGGCGCCTTCTGAGCAGCCCCGCCGCCTCCCGAGGAGGCCTTCCCCTTCTCGCCCCCCCCCCCTCCTCGCCGCAGGTGCTCGGCTGGGCGGCGGCGTGGGGGTCGGCCGCGCGCGAGCTCCTCGAGCTCCTCCCGCACCGGGGTGGACGGGGGCGGCGCCCGCGGCCAGCGCGCGCCCGTGGGGCAGGCCGGCGCGCGCAGCGCGGGGCGCAGGGCAGGGCGACGCTCCCCTGGCCAGTCGAGGCGGCGGGGCAGCGAAGGCGACGCTCCCTGGCCAGCGCCATCGGCGAGGCTGCTGCTCGGCCATGCGCTCGCCGCGCACTGTTTCTCGGGTGGAGGGTGGGCGCCGTCCCCTGCTGGGGCAGATCGCCGCCTCTGGGCGCCCCCTGTTTCGGCATGCGCCGTAAGACCTTGGCGGCCTCGGCACCGCCACTGCTGGCCCCCGGGCAGCATCGGCGTGGACTGTGGGCTTGGGCGACGGTTGTGCTTCCTGACGTGGGCTCGCCGAGCGTGCTTGCATTCTCGGACGGTTCCATGCGGCCGCGGCAAGGCGTCGGCTCGCTTGCAACCTGCAGATCGTGCGGCGCACCAAGGCCCTCCTCCTCCTCCTCCTCCTCCTCCTCCTCCTCCTCCTCCTCCTCCTCCACCTCCTTCCTCCTCCCCATCATCATCGATCATCATCGATCACCATCGATCATCATCATCATCATCATCATCATCATCATCATCATCATCATCATCATCATCATCATCATCATCATCATCATCATCATCATCAGCATCAGCATCAGCATCAGCATCAGCATCAGCATCAGCATCATCATCATCATCATCATCATCATCAGCATCAGCATGATCATTATCAGCATCATCATCATCAGCATCGTCATCATCAGCAGCAGCATCGTCAGCGTCAGCATCATCATCAGCACAATCATCATCAGCATCATCAGCATCATCAGCATAATCATAGCAGCATCAACATCAGCTTCATCATCAGCATCATCAGCAGTATCATCAGCATCGGCATCATCAGCATCAGCCACATCAGCATTAAGATCATCGACAGCATCATCACCAAAATGATCAGCATCATCATTCTAACCACCATCATCAGCATTATCACTATAACCGTCGTCAGCATCGTCATCACCATCATCATCGTCATCATCATAATCATCATCATCAACATCAGCATAACTATCCTCATCATTTTCAGCAACATCATCCTCACCATCCTCCGAAATCATCACCATCAGAAGCAAGAACAGCAGCGGCAACAACAGCAACAAGAGCAGCAGCAGCATTCGCATCATCAGCATCATCTTCATCACAAGAATCATCATCATCATCACCATCATCATCGTCGTCATCGTCATGAGCAGCAACCGCAGCATCAGCATCACCATCAGCCTCAGCATCGGCATCAGCATCATCATCACCATCATCGTCCTCATCATCAGCAGCAGCATCATCATAATCATTGTCATAATAATAAGCATCGTCATCATGCTCATGAAAATCATCACATTTAGCATCATCCTCATCATGATCATCGTCATCGTCATCGGCATCATCATCATGAACAATGTCAGCATCAGTCGCCTCAACAACAACACTCGCTTTCAGACTGTTCGCTCCCATCTGCTTGCGTGCCATTCAACAAGTTTACCCCAAACCCTCGGTACCCGCCCTCTTCGTCTTCGGTCGTACCCCCTTGGGGATAATTCGCTTACGTGCGACGTGCATTGAACGCAGCCCCTATAACAGAGGAAAGAAATGACAAATGAGAGGGAGAGGGAAAAGGATGGAGCACGAGAAATTAGCAGGAGTGGGACTGGGAGCCAAAACCACGTGGCCGAACCAGACGGGCAGATTGGGCGGGTAGATCTTAGCGGGCGAGTCGGGAAGGCCAGCCCACGTGGCCGGGTCGAACAGGCGTGTTGCTGAAGCGTGGCTCCTTCGTAAATCGCGAAGGAACCTCGAGCGATTCTTGAATGTCGAGGGCGTGGCGCCTGAAGACAGCGCACGGAAGTCCCATGCAGAACCGCGATTATTGCATGTATTGTGCGGGCGTTCTGCGCGAGAGAAGGTCAAGGACGGAATTCGAGCACGAGAACATCTACTGTTTTAAAAGTGGGTGCGAACCCAATGAGGAGCAGTACACTTTACAAACCGCGTGCGCTGGTGGAAAGAGGATCAACAATACTTATTGTTCAAGAATGGGGTTCAACACCATCATCACCACCATCATGATCATCCACCTCACCATCATCGTCATCACCAGCATCACCATCAGCATCCTGATCGCCCACAAACGCATCATCCGCATCATCATCATCATCATCATCATCGTAATCATCAACATCATCATTACCATTCCTCACTCGCTTGCCCCTCACTCATCGTTCCTCTTCCTACCTTCTCCCACCTCCCACCCCCTCCTCTTCCTCCTCCTCCTCATCATCAGCACAATCATCATCATCATCATCATCATCAACAACATCATTATCATCATCATCACCATCATCATCATCATCACCATCATCATCATCATCATCATCCCCCTCCCTCCTCCTGCTCCCTGATCCCTCCCTCCTCATCCTCCTCCTCTTCCTCCTCCTCCACCACCCTCCTCCCTCGTCTCACACGCGGCGCCCGCTGCGTCCGCGAAGGCGGGCGCCCCTTTTCACAACGCAAGGGGGGGGGGCCGTCGGCCTGCGGGGAGGCCCTGCGCGCGGGGCCCTGTCCGGAAGTTGCAGAGAGGGGGAGGAAGTCTGCGCGAGGGATGAGCGAGCAAGCAGGACTCCCACAGAGACGCGTGCGCCTCGAGGGTCACGCGCAGACAGGTGAGAGAAGAGGACAACTGCGGGTTTCCCCCCGACGATAACCGACGTGAGGAATTAGAAAAAAAGAACCTTGAGGATGGGGGACACATCGAGAGACAATTCAGACCCGAATTCAATGTTGATATCAAGACCGAAGTTGTGATAACGACTTATCAACTAGGCAACGTAAAACGTATAACGCGAGCCACCCCTGGCCGATGGTCATCGAAACATGTGTCAACTATGCGATGCCACCATCAAAACATGACTCCTAGGGTATGATGCTTTGGATAGGTCGCACTCATACGCCTTCCCATTAAAGTGAAATATACGGCATAAATTTCGTTAGACTTGTTGGCAGACAATGTACTGAGAACGGACCGTCCCACCATTTGACGCTATTGTGCCGTCATTCGATTGGCAAAGAGATCCGCCATATCACCTGAAGCAATTGCGCTGTCCTTCGCGTGGCGCAGCACAAGCACAACTCAGAATGATCAACAACGTAGGTAACAATGGTCACATGGCCCGGAGGGCTGGTAACCTGTGAGGGGGTTGAGCGAGCAAGACAGCCAGCCAGCAGATGCCCCCCCCTGTGGAATGGCGCCCGCACCGGGCACCTGGCCGCAGGACACTCCACAGAGACGCGTGCGCCTTGAGGGCCACGAACGGAGAGGTGAGAGAAGAGGACAGCTGCGGGTGTCCCCACCAGCTTGGCCCGAGACATCTTCCACAAAGTCTGGCGCGGCTGGCCTTGGGCGAGCCGGGGCTGGGTTCGTGGGGGCGTGGAGGGCGCGGCAGGGGGGCGAGGATGGAGGGAAAGGAGGGGGAGGGAAAGGAGAGGGGAGGGAGGGCGGTGAGGGAGGGAGGGAGGCGAGGGAGGGAGGGGGAAGGGGGGAGGGAGGGAGGGAGGTGAGCGAGGGAAGGGAGGGGAGGGAGACGGAAGGGAGGGAGAGGGTAGGGATGGAGGGAGCAAGAGCGAAAACGAGAGCGAGCGACTCGGCGCAATGCGTTCGTAGAAGAGCAAATCGCGCCCAGCAACGCCACAACGCACCCCCAAAGCAAGCGGCGCCAGCAAGAAGTAAGTGGCGTCAGCAAAAAGGAAGTGGCGTCCAGCAAGCGAAGCGACACCTCACCAGGCAGGCCAGTACCGCAACGTGCACCGGCCTGCAGGAGGCAAGCACACGCAGCGGACCTCGAACGTGGGGAAAAAGACCAGGACTGAAAGGCAAAGACGAAACGCTGGAGGAACAGCAAATGGAGGAGATGGGGAGCCGGGAGAAGAGAGACGAGGACGGGGGGAGCGAAGGGGGAGAGGAGCGGGAAAGAGAGAGGGCCGCGCACCGACACGCAAGCGAAACACGCCTGCGGCTGCGTTTTCCGCACGCCGCACGGGAGGGGAGGAGCGGGAAAAAAGGGAAGCAAACGGAGACGGAGACGAGGGAGGAGGTTGGGAGAAGGGGGGGAGGGACAGGACACCCCTTCGAGAAGGGGGGTCGACTACAGAATTGATTCACCCCAGACTTGATGATTCGGTCAAGGCTGCAGAGACAGCGCTGTACGCTTTTGTGCGATCGAACTCCCACGCGAACCCTGACGGGCCAGCTAACTAACACCACCTCGCACCGAAACTGCCCGCGAGAGCGACAAACAAAGCCGGCCGCGCTCGACCTGCACCACTGGTCGAGAGAGTCGTCCACGGTCGTGGCCGTCGGAATTGCTTGCCCACGGAACTGGCTCGAGACAGTGAATCGGGGACGGCCAAGAAGGGGGCGTCCAAGAGGGGGGGTGCAAATCATGGCCGGCGGCATGTGCGCGGCCCGAGGGGGGGCCAGGGACGCAACGAAATAAGAAGAGGCGCCATGAAATCTGGGGAAATGACATGGCCCACGCCAGGATGATATCCCCCCCCTAGGCATCGCCCCCCTCTTTTGCCGCCCCCGAGTGCACAGAAGAAGTAAGTGCCCCAACTCAGCCTCGCTGGGCATCTCAGGACACGACCTCATCCCTGCCTGCGGAAGAGATTGAAGGGCCGAGGGGCACACAAACAAATAGACACACATACAAGGATTCCCCATATTTTCCTATATGTTCTGGATGTTTGTCTTCCCCCCCACTATATGCTCGCACATTTTCTGGGGAATCGACGATGAACTGTGTCTGTGTGTGTTTTCCCCTCCTCAGAGATATGCTCCTGCCGAAAAGGAGATCTGTGACATGGGATTTCCGCGTGGAGGGGGGAGCGCGAGGGAGGAGGAAGAGCGGCAGCAGCAGCAGGAGACAGGAGGGAGGGCGAAGGAGGAGGGAGGGGGGGGAAGAAGGGACCGAGCGCAAGGAGGGGAGGGAGCGGAGGAAGGGGGGGAGCAGGGAGGAGGAAGAGGGGGGAGGGGGGCGGAGCGAAGGGAGCAGGGGGCAGGGAGGAGGGCGGAGGGGGGAACAGACAGAGGCCAGGGGCGCGGTCACAAATCCATTACATACGCGCTTATTCCGAATCGGATGGAAAACCGCACGCGCTGCATGACAACAAATTAGAAGGTCTGCGAGGCGGAAATCTCTCCATGTCCACCGCCTGATAAGCGACGCCCTGGTGCCCCAGCTGGCGGTGGAAGTAGATAGATGTTGGCCCCTGGGGGCCCGAATACGTCCATGTCCACCGCCTGTGAAGCCCGCGAAGGTCGATCCCCCAGGCGACGATCGTGGATGAATCCCCGCCTCGGAGTGCTGGCTCGCTTGCGGCACCCGCGGGCCATCTTCACCCTGCCCCAGCGACCTCCTACCAGCCTCGGTGGGCTGGACGCCCCGCACAGCCAGCGACGAGAACAATGCCCAGAGGAAGGCACTAGTGTGCAAACAGGACCTCGCACCTATCGAGATTGAGCTGCGGGGAAAATTGCTCCAGAGATTCCGCGCGCTCGCTGCGCCGAGAGGTCCACCTCAGAGGAGCCCCCGGAGACGAGGAGTCCCCGGATAGTTCGCGGAAACCTTCGCGCGCCCCCACGCGGCGATGAAGCCCAGCGCAACGGGAGAAACATACAGCGAATACGGCGGAACGAACTTCTGCAACGCGCTCAACAGCAGCTCAAGAAGCGGAGATCCACTGGGCCCACGGAGTGTTTCAGGCCAGCAGTTCTCGACCTTTCGCCCGGAACCTCTGCAAGCCAGAGCTGATGCATACTTTGCACAGGTCTGGCAGGGGCAGATCCAGCGGCCTCTTCAACCCCACGGACCCGCAGATGACCCGGCCGACGAGTCCCGCATCCCGAGCGCAGTCCGACCAGATAGGCCGGCGCGAGCGTGCTCGTCAGGAGCTCGTGGTATGTGCAGTTCTCTAAGCCCGTGCTTCGCTAACCAAAGAAAAAAAGGCGTGGCCGCAGAGGGTA